TCAAAAAGAACAGATACTCTTGTCATCGTGACTCCTTCCATATATGCCATAGATAGTTGTTATTTGTCCGGTCAGCACGATTCAATTGCGCATGGTGAAAGGCAGAAAAGTAGCGGACGTGGGAGGCAACCGAAGCCGCATGCGGATATGTGTGCAAATCTTCTAGGCGTGCGGTTGGATTATGTTACCGAACATGCATATGCTCCGGCCACCGGGTTGTTGCTACGGATATATAGAATTTGCTCCTCTACCTTATGCAAAAGAACCTATCTATATACACTTTTATTTTCAATGGATTCAGGGAAGACTATAGATCGATGTCAGCGTATATACATATGTGAAGTCTTTTGACAGGATCAAGCACGCTGTTGTTCCTTGAAGCAACGGCCAACTGATACGTACGTGTTGCGCCCAGACGAACAAAGTTTCTCGATCAACACCATTTTGGAAGCTTGCTTTCAGACAACATCCAAGTTCCAAGCTAGTCCTTCCAGGAAAGCTGCTCGCGCGCGCGTGACACGAATGTAGGCCACGCGCGCTGCGAGTACCTAACGCGAATCATCACACACCGGCCGCTTGCTCAGAATTGATACATCACATCGCGTTTTACCTGATCACCATATATAAGCATGCGCGTGCAACGCATATATATGTTCACTGGACTCCCCAGTCTCCACTGCATTATATATTTATAATTTATATTGACTAGCAAATATACATGTGCGTTGTAATCGAAGAAAAAGTCTATAAAAATATGTATATGTGTTAGATTTTTATTTGTAACTTATTTTATAAAGTCTATGACAACCATAATATAAATTAATATTAGTAATAATATGAGTATATGACAATGCTTTATTAAATCCAAATTATATTAAAATAGAATTTTGATAGATTTTTTCTCTCGTTGTAAAGACATAAATATTTACTTGTGAATATAACATAACTTTAGTTTCCACACTATCCATGTGTCGTTAGAGTTAAATATCAAGTTTTGTGATTTCCTTGAAGAACATATGAAAATATCTATACCTAATATTTGTTTATTAGAGAAAGGTCAAGGTTCACAGAGTCATAATAGAATATTTATAGCAAATCGTGTACGTGCGTTGCAACAGAACCTACAACTTATATGGTGTAGTCACCTAAACAACTTTACGGTTCGGAGATTTGTTTAAGAATCGTGTAATCTATCCCAATACGTGTTGGACTTAGACATTGTAGCATTGTTGGACGTACACATCTTGTAGTCGAACACTATATCATTATTGGATGTGTTGTTCTAATTCGTATGAGCATGGGGTTGTGAGTACACCTCACATGCGGGTTGGAGTGGAGATTCAGCATCGTTGCTGGACAAGTATTATTCTAACTCATATGGGCACATGCGTCTAAATCACGAACGGGGTAGAGCGAAGCGCAAGGCTATTGTGAGAAGTAAGAAAAGACAGTTGGAAGAATACATTTGCCCTCTAATGTCAAGTAAGTCTATAGATATAGATTAGATCGAACAATAAAATGTGCTCAAGAGCTCACGGCTTCATTAGTCAGACCATTGGTTGATCCAGGTTGTCATAAAAATAATTTTTATTTGTAGTCAAAACTACATCAAGAATCTAATGATGAGAATATTTATTTATTAGAGATTAAAAAAAGTTAAAGATTCAAAGGCTCGTAATATATATTTTATTTATTTATTGTTTTTATGTTTATATGAAAAAGGGTATAATTAAGAAAAGAAAAACAACAGAAAAAAAAATCACATATTGGACACGGAGGAAATGGACTGAAGATACTCCTCTAGAAAAAGATAGAAAAAAGAATGAGAAAGAAAAACAGAAGAAAAAAAAAGCAGAACGGACATGGGAAATAGGACAAACGCCAAAATAAACCTAAACGGACACGTGAAACAACTCCCCTGCATTATATATTTATAATTTATATTGATAAGAGGCCGGCCGGGAGTATATGGAATAATGGCGACACATACAGGTTTGATACTCTCCGTTTGTACTTTTATCTAAAAAAACACAGGGATACGGATACATGTACAATCAACACCGTATACCAACGACCATTTAAGAGCAAGAAAGCCTTGCATATGGTCGTCTCTCTCTTTCTGATAGGATACAACTTGGACGTACACAACTCGTATACTACACACTTACACCATACGTATGTATACGTGTGCGCGTCTGTAACACGCAAAGAAGACATTGGGGGTAGTGGAGGGACGGGCTTTACTCCCGGTGAAGAACCCTCTCTAATCCCGATTTACCATCCGGGAGTAAGCATCCGGGTCGGGAACCGACCTTTAGTCCCGGTGCATAACACCAACCGGGACTAAAGGTCCTTCCAGCTTTAAAAAAAATAATGCCTCCCACCGCTGCATCCTGTGTGATTCGAACCCAAGACCTCATACATTGCCTCGCGCGTAGCTTACCACCCCACCTACACAACACATCTAACAATGGATGGGATGCTTCCCTTTTGAACTAACACATCGGGGGACCTTTAGTCCCGGTTGGTGTCCCCAACCGGGACTAAAGGTTGGAGTACTTTTAGTCCCGGTTGGTGGCTCCAATCGGGAGTAAAGGTCCACCTTTAATCCCGGTTGGTGTCTCCAATCGGGACTAAAGGTCCCCTGCCACTGTGCCGAGCGCAGTAGCCGTTGGGCAGGGACCTTTAGTCCCGGTTGAAGACACCAACCGGGACTAAAAGTCTCTCTAGTCCTGGGCGCAAAAAATACCAGGACTGGAGCCCATTTTAGCCTCGGATGAAAGGTCTGTTCTCTACTAGTGGGGCTCTCTAGCCTCCAGTGTATGGAAACACGCAGTACCACTGAACGCGCATGTATACATGTACTCTATTTTTTCTGGGTAACAAACCCTTTCGCGTCTCTCTTAACAAACAAGTAGACGACCAAACTCACGCTGCTAACTCTAGGAGTAGGAATAAGTAAGTGTTATAAATCTATGACCAAATTTGGAGCCACGCAACCAGTCTACTGCTTTTTTTTGTCGTGTCCTGTTTGTTCATATTCTAACAAAACAATCATTGGTTGGAAGAAAATGTGGGACCGTCGTTTAGATAGTACTAAGCGAGGTTAATTAAACATGCATGTTTCGATGAATATATTTTTTAATAAAAAACTTGTATTTATTTACGATCATTACACCGCGTTGAAATAATAACTGTAAACTCACTTTCAGCCTCTGCATAAAAGTACACGGCCTAAGAAAATGAAGATAAGTTTAGAGCACTCTAATAACTATCGATCCTAAGACTAGATCGTCAACCATTGTGCTTGGGAGAAGGAAAAAAATTATGACTGCTTGCATTAATTGTTGTGATGCCGTTACAACTAAAACCCATGAAGTAGCCTTTTGGAGCATATATTGGTACTAGGACGAGTTGAAGACTATCAGTAATCTACAGCCAAGTTGTGTATACCTGGGTCCAGTTTAGTTTGCAAAAAATTTTGCAAAATTTTTCACATTCCCCGTCACATCGAATCTTTGAACGCATGCATGAAGCATTAAATATAAATAAAAAAATCAAACTAATTACACAGTTTAGACAAAATCCACGAGACGAATCTTTTAAACCTAATTAGATTATGATTGGACATTATTTGCCAAATAACAACGAAAACGCTACAGTACTCATTTTGCAAAAATTTTTGCATCTAAACAAGCCCCTGCCTAGCAAACAGCGGAGTGAAATGAACTACAGGTCTCTAAAGTTTTCCGCAGGTGTTATAGGTCCCCAAAGTTTTAAAATGGTAATTTTGGGTCCCGGAAGTTAATTCAGGTCTCATCCAGGTTCAAATGGGTGCTTACCCGACCCGTTAGCTGTCGTGACATGCTGACACAGCGCTTACACGGACCCGACAGATGGGACCCACATGTCAGTGGCAAGGCTCATTTTTTAAAAAAAAAAATCGTATCTTTTTCATATGACCTCAGATGAAGATAATTTTTATATTAAAAATTGTAGCCCTCGATGATATCTACAACTTTTAGTTTTAAGATTTTCCATTTGAGCAGCAAATTAATCATGTACTAGAGCAGGTCGTCTTAGAAAAATCATCTCTCTTGTGTATATGGTGACGGATAAAGATACTTTGTATACGAAAATTGTAGCTCTCGATGAGATCTATAAATTCATTGTTTTGAATTTTGTCATTTGAGGTCGTTAAAATGATCACAAAAATAATAATTTCAAATTTCAATAGCATTTATTAATCATGCCCCAGAGCATTTTGGTCTTTTTCCCTATGCTTTATAGATTTTGTATATTTTTTAATCCATTTATTCCATGCCCGGACATCCAAACCAAACCAGAGGCAAACAGATGATTCATTTCAAAATAGTGAGGGTAAAATCACAAAGTTAAAAAAACAACAGCAAAATCACAATTAGACCACTGGATAGGAGCAAAAACATAATTTTCCCTTTTTAATAAACATATTTAGAGGTATAAATATCGTTAATATTTTCTATAAACCTAGTTAAATAAAAAATTTGACCGACTCGAACCTATAGCGACACTCTTTTTTTGGTCGAAGGGAGTAAATCATAACCGAAGCACCAGACAGTAAGCAATGAAGGACCGTTAGCAGAGCTGCCGCACTTGAAAGCACGCAGGGAGACCGGCAGATGAAACCACCGTAGCAGTTGAACACACGCCGTGTTGACTTAGCAAGTTCACTTGCTCTGCACGCGTCGCCCTAACAAGTAACAACCCTGCTGATGTCCTGCTGCACCCGATCCCACCGTCTCCCATGCACCGCACCCCTTGCCTGCAGTGGTTTGCTATATATACCCTAAGCCTGCCTCTTCCACCCACATCCCTGCCCATCACAAGATAGAGATCAAGAGAAGCAGAAGGCAAGCTCTCGATCCCCTTCTCCAAGACTCCAACTTGCATTGCAAACGTTCGTGTGGCAGTGCAGCGAGAACCGGAGAGGAGAGAGGTCTGTGTGCTCGCTTCCCTCCATGGCGGCTTCCATGATGAGTCACCGTTGCCACATGCTGCTGCTCTGCGCCGTCCTCCTCGCCGGCGCCGTCCGTGGCCACCCTTGGGGCGGCCTGTTCCCGCAGTTCTACGACCACTCGTGCCCCAAGGCGAAGGAGATCGTGAGGTCCGTCGTGGCGCAGGCCGTCGCCAGGGAGACCAGGATGGCGGCGTCATTGGTCAGGCTGCATTTCCATGACTGCTTCGTCAAGGTAAATAAACCCGGCCTGCTTCCTAGCCCTCTTCTGTAGCTTTCGTTACATACATGCTTTTGGCAACAGCTCTGATGCATGCTAGTAAGTACATAACTCAATATGCAAAGTGCACAACTGCAACTTTTGCTGTTTGTGAGGGAATCCGTAATCTTTTGCCACCTTTTTACCAACAAAGATATGATGACCTACCTACACATTGCGCATGCATGCCAGCACTAGTTTATGTCTTGGCGACAATATCACAATGCAATATCATATCCCGTATCATATCGTATGATTGATCCATTCCTCTCTCTCTTTTTGCCCTTTTTCTCAAAAAAAGAGAGAAAACTACCAATGCAGGTGCCTAATGAGTCGTCTACCACCATTATTGTCAAATTAACCTTTTGCAACACTTTTTCCGTTTGTCTGATAGGGCTGCGACGCTTCTGTGCTGCTGGACAACAGCAGCAGCATCGTGAGCGAGAAAGGCTCCAACCCCAACAAGAACTCGCTGCGGGGCTTCGAGGTGGTCGACGACATCAAGGCCGCGCTGGAGGCCGCTTGCCCGGGCGTCGTCTCCTGCGCCGACATCCTCGCCCTCGCCGCGCGCGACTCCATGGCCCTCGTCGGCGGTCCATCCTGGGACGTGCCGCTGGGGCGGAGGGACGCGCTGGGCGCCAGCGTGCAGGGCTCCAACAACGACATCCCGGCGCCCAACAACACGCTCCCCACCATCGTCACCAAGTTCAGGCGCCAGGGCCTTGGCGTCGCCGACGTCGTCGCGCTCTCCGGCGGCCACACCATCGGCATGTCCCGATGCACCAGCTTCCGCCAGAGGCTCTACAACCAGACGGGCAACGGCGTGGCGGACACCACGCTGGACGTCTCCTACGCGGCGCAGCTGAGGCGGGGCTGCCCGCGCTCCGGCGGCGACGACAACCTCTTCCCGCTCGACCTCGCCACCCCGGCCAGGTTCGACAACCTCTACTTCAAGAACATCCTGGCCGGAAGGGGTCTCCTCAGCTCCGACGAGGTGCTGCTCACCAAGAGCGCCGAGACGGCCGCGCTCGTCAAGGCCTACGCCGCGGACGTCAACCTCTTCTTCCAGCACTTTGCGCAGTCGATGGTGAAGATGGGCAACATCTCGCCGCTGACGGGGCTGCAGGGGGAGATCAGGAAGAACTGCAGGAGGATTAACGGCAACCATTACTGAGGAATTAATCGATTTATTATTATTATGTACATGCTCATGATGAGTGAGCTATATATATATCGTGTACGCGTGCCATGTTTTGTTTTAAATAAACAAGAACGGCTTAACGCCGCCTGATTGGGTTTTTATAACAATTCAAACGTTTTCATTCATGTGCGCGTGTAAACAATCTCATGCAATCGGACAGCAGTGGAAGTTAATTTTCATAGATAATTGACACTAGTAGAGAATAGACCTTTGATCAAGGGTCAAACCAGGCTCTAGTCCCGAGAAATATTGCGTCCAGGACTAGAGAGACCTTTAGTCCCGGTTGGTGCCTGCCCAACGGCTCCTGCGCCAGGCCGTTGTGGCAAGGGACCTTAAGTCCCGGTTGGAGCCACCAACCGGGACTAAAGGTCAACCTTTACTCTCGGTTATTGGCTTTAACCGGGAGTAAAGCTCTTGTCCCGGCTAGTGGCTTGGCCCGGGACTGGAAAGTGACCTTTAGTCCTGGTTGGATCCGGTTGGATCCATCAACCGTGACTAAAGGTCCCCTTATAAATCCTGCTGGCCGTCTTCTTCCTTTCCGAGCCCGCCCAAGAGCTTCAGTTCAAATTTAAGCAGTGTTCTTGCTCTTTCTCCATCCATTCTTCGATTCCTCCGTCGATTTCTTCGATTCCTCCGTCGATTCTTCGGTTCTAAAGGTTACCAACTTCATACTCTCATATTTTACCATTGTCTTATCTCATTTTGTTCACTATATATATATAGTTCTTTATTGTGGTTTTTTTCATTTGTAAGCAATTTGAGCTCAAAATCACTTCAAGCTTGCATATTTACATGAAGGAAGGTTAAAGTAGCTAGTTGAACTTGCGGACCGTGTTCATCTCGACGAGCATGTTCTCTGCCGAGCGGTAACGGACGTCAAGGAGGAGCTTTGATTCTACGAGGGAGAGCGGCAACGGTCGTGGAAGACCGTGTTCCCTTCCTCGTAGAATCAGAGCTCTTCCGTGGCCAAGTACGGTGCCGTCTGGTGGAGAAATGCTCGCCGAGATGATCACGTAAGCAAGGTCAACTAGTACGGATGGTTATTTATTCACACGTCCTGATATCGTCGCAGTAGTCTGTCAATCACCGTACACAAACGTAGTATATATATAAATATAAACGATAATCGATTGTTATGTGTACACTCTCATTCTTCTGTTAATTTGCGGAAATATCATGTGAATTACTTACCTACCGCAGTAAAAGACGAGAACACAATGACCATGGCCACGGCCATGAAAAATGCCAATGACACAACACTAGCAACTTTCTCGGCAAGCAGAGTAGTGTTAAACGCTCTGGAAACCTTTAAACTTCAAGCTTGCATATTTACATGAAGGAAGGTTAAAGTAGCTATTAAAAACTAGTATTCACCGTTCATTTGTAGCATGCATAGCACACTTCATTGTTTAGAGATATAGAGAATTTTATAGTTTTTTAATTTTATTTGTTTATAAAATGAGAAATTTATAGTGTATTAAAAAATAAGTATAGAGAGTAGATGGCAACTGCTTCCGGATCCTCGGAATCTCATGGGTTTCCAAAGCGACTTAGATCGGGCCTTCCACTCATTGCATGCGGCAAGTGTTGTGATGAGACGACGATTGTGATGGAGTACCGAGTGAAGAAGGAGGGTCCCAACAAGGGTCGCATTTTCTACAAGTGTCCGGATCGCAATGTGAGTTATTTTATCGTATTTAATGACTATGGTTAGTTTATACCTATTTTCATGATGGTTGTGATTAAAGTTCTAATTTTCTGTTTTAATTACAGTGGGATGGCACTAGATGTTCAGGCTTCTACTGGGAGGAAGAGTATGTTGAACTCGTGCAAAAATATCTTGCACAACAGGCAGATATGGCGGCTAATGAGGCAGTGATCCAGCCGAAGAAGCCCAAAGATGTTGAACAAACGGGGGATCTGTCTGTTTTAGTTGGGATTGGTCGCGAAACCCTTGTGCTGCTGAAGTGCATTTTAGCTTTAGTGTTTTTAGTGGTAGTTGGGATTGTCTACATTGTAGCGAGGATTTCTTAAATTTATAGCTTTTGTGGTGGTATGCATGTTGTATAATTAACTAATTATATTCTAGGTTTTAATACGGTATTTATGTAATGTAATGCAGATGAGTCGGCATTGGATGTACAATGATGATCGTCGTTCCCAAGAGTTCATGGACGGCGTGCATTCTTTGTTACGTGCGGCCGAGGCAAACAAACGCGATGGTTTCATGTGTTGCCCATGTGTCGTATGTAAGAATACGATGGAATATGCTAACTCAAAGACTCTTCATTCACACTTATTCAAGTCGGGTTTCATGCCAAACTACATTTGTTGGACGAAGCACGAAGAAACCAGAGTTGTAATGGAAGAAGGTGAAGAAGAACAATGGGGCGATGATGACATTTTTGCTGAATATGGTGCCTTCAATGATACTGCAATGGGGGAAGCTGAAGAAGATGTGGGGGCAAAGGAGAAGCCCGCTGAAGAAGAGGTGGGGGCAGAGGAGGAGCCTGCTGACGATCTTGGTCAGGCCAATCGTGACGCACAAAGAGAATGCGAAAGTGAAAAGGAGAAGATCAAGTTCGACCGCATGCTAGAGGATCATAAGAAATTGCTATACTCAACATGTGATGCGGGGCAGAAAAAGTTAGGTACCACATTGAAATTGCTGCAATGGAAGGCAAAGAATAGTGTATCTGACAAGGGATTCGCGGAGTTACTAAAAATCCAAAAGAAGATGCTTCCGAAGGATAACGAATTGCCCAGCACTACGTACGAAGCAAAATAGGTAGTCTGCCCTTTAGGATTAGAAATCCAGAAGATACATGCATATCCTAATGACTGCATCCTCTACCGTGGCACGGTGTATGAGAAGTTGGATGCATGCCCTGTATGTCACATGTCGCGGTATAAAATCAAGCGAGATGACCCTGGTGATGTTGAGGGCGAACGTCCCAAGAAGAAAATCCCTGCCAAGGTTCTGTGGTATGCTCCTATAATACCACGCTTGAAACGTCTTTTTAGAAACAGAGACCATGCAAAGTTGTTGTGATGGCACAAAGAAGACCGTAAGGTAGACAATATGTTGAGACACCCTACTGATGGGTCCCAGTAGAGAGCAATCGATAGAGAATTCTCCGAGTTTGCAAGTGACGCAAGAAACTTAAGATTTGCTTTAAGTACGGATGGTATGAATCCTTTCGGGGAGCAGAGCAGTAGTCACAACACTTGGCCTGTTACTCTATGTATCTACAACCTTCCTCCCTGGTTATGCATGAAGCGTAAGTTTATTATGATACCGGTGCTCATCTAAGGTCCAAAGCAACCTGGCAACGACATCGATGTGTACCTGAGGCCACTAGTTGAAGAACTTCTAATTTTGTGGAACAAGCCAGGTGTACGCGTGTGGGATGAGCACAAGCAGGAGCACTTTGACCTGCGAGCATTGTTGTTCGTAACAATCAATGATTGGACAGCTCTAAGTAATCTTCCAGGACAATCAAACAAGGGATATAATGCATGCACGCACTGTTTCGGTGACATGAAAGGTATATTCTTGAAAAAGTGTCGCAAGGTCGTGTACCTTGGGCATCGACGATTTCTTCCTGCAAATCACCCCGTAAGAAAGAAAGGCAAGCATTTTAAAGGTAAGGCAGACCACCAGACCAAGCCTCGCAACCGAACTGGTGAGGATGTCCTCGATATGGTCAATGATGTAAAAGTAATATTTGGAAAGGGACCTAGCAGCCAACCTGTTTCGAAGGACGCCAATGGTCACGCACCCATGTGGAAGAAGTCCATATTTTAGGAGCTACCCTATTGGCAAGTCCTAGAGGTCCGCAGCGTGATC